GAGTCACCTGCAACTCATAGCGGCCCTATGTACAACAGCCCTAAACCCTGCTCTATCCTGTGCCAATCTCACTATCTCCAACACACCTACCCTGATTACCCCAGTCACTGAATCAATCCATCTCATAGAGGGTCTTCCTCTCCTGCGCTGTCTCTCCACCCTCCAAAACATGACATCCTTCTCCAAGGACTGGTCCCTCCTTGCAGCATGTCCAAAGTATATCAGACGAAGCTTCAGAATCCTTGCCTCCAAGGGGAAGCCTGGTTTAAGCCTCTGTAGCTCGAACTTTTCATTTTCTTAGCAGTCCATGGTATATTATATACTCTTTTCCAACACCACAGCTCAAAGACATCAATTCTCCTTCTATCCTCCCTAGTCACTGTCCAAGTCTCTGACCCATAGCAAGTGATTGCACAGACCATGGCCTTTATCATTTGTACCTTAAACTCTGGAGTGACACCATTGCTCCCCAGTACTTTGGAGGGGTCCCTAACAGCAGACTTACCCATTGCAATGTGTCTTTTAATTTCTTGGCTGCTGTTGCCAAGAGTGTTGACTGTGGAGCCAAGTAAACTAAAGCTGTGAGCAATCTCAGTCTCTTCACCATCCATCCTGATTCTGCCAGTTGGCTCAGTGGTGAGAAATCTTGATATTGAGCCTCAATCCATACTGAAGGCTGCAGTCCTTGACCTCCTGCAGCAAGCACTTCAGGTCCTCCTCAGTTTCAGATGTACTGGGATTTTTTTGTTGTTGTTTGTTTTTTGTTTTCTATTATTACCTATGTCTCTCTTTTTGTTAATATTAAAATTAATAGATTTGCTTGTTTTAAATTTTTTCCTTTATTATTTCCTTGTTTTTAGCTTTAACTTTTTCTGTTTGATTTTTGGTTTTGGTTGTTTATTTTCTCTATTTTTTTAAGAAATCACCTTTTGTTCTTTGTGTTCTGCACAGTAGTTCTCCATCATGTTGTTGTTATGTGCCGTCGAGTTTTCTGCAATTAATAGCTACTGTATGTAAGTAGCTCTGAACTCAGCCCTGTCTTGAGCCAGTGTCACTGACTCCGGCACACCTGACCCCATTGCCCAGTTCCTGTGTCAATCCATCTTATCCAGGGTCTTCCTCCCTGTGCTGTCCCACCACCCTTTCATGCATGATGTCCTTCTCCAAGAACTGGTCCCTCCTGGCCACGTGCCTAAGGTTTGTGAAATGGAACTTCAAAATCCTTGCCTTCAAGGAGCAGCCTGGTTTCATCCTCTCGAATGTTGTAAAATTCTTGTTTCTCAAACTATTATTTTCCTTTTGTCTTCATGGCATTTTTAAACAACAGATTAAAAATTTGATGTCAACTTCTTTAACATTTTAAGTTATGAATGGTATTATACTCTTTTATTTAAAATGTTTCTAGTACTCTGTAATAAAGTAGAATGCACAGCAGCTCTTGAGTGCTCCACCAGGTTTCCAGGACTGTAATCTGTACAGGAAGACACTGCTTCATTTTTCTCCTGCTTCAGACCTACAACCTGCTGTTTTGTGGCCCAACATGTAACACAGTCAGGATGCCTTCTACTTATTTATGTCACCTGTTAATATATAGGGAGCTCTGGTGGTCTAGTAGCAAGAAGCTGTGCTACAATCTCAAAGGCACATGGTTTGAGGCCACCAGCTACTTTTATGGTAGAAGGTATAAGTCTCCTCCCATATTATTAACTACCTCTAAAAACGTGCTGGAGGGTTAGCTGTGGGTCGGTTCCAAGTTAACAGTACACAACATTACCATATATGAACTCTGGTGGCTTAGTGATAAGACGCAGTGATGCAATCCCAAAGGCATGTTGTTTGTGTCCAACAGCTGCTCTGCAGAAGAAATATGTACAGTCTCCTTCAAAGAATTACTGCCTCTGAAAACCTACTGGAGGGGTCAGCTATGCATCAGTCCCAACTCCACAGCACACACCAGCAACATTGTTATATAGGAAGCTCTGGTGACCTAGTAATAAGAAGCAGCACTGCAGTACCAAAGGCACACAGTTCAAATCCACCAGTTACTCCTTGAAAGAAGGAAGATTGAGCAATCTCCTCCTGTGTGATTACTGCCTTTGAAAATCTGCTGGTGTATCAGCTACAAGTTGTTTCTGACTCAATGCCACACAGCAACAACAAAATTGCTATATAATGAATTATAAGCATTTATAGAGTTTCAGGATTTTGACAGCAGCTTAGGGAGGTGGTTCTGCCTGAGGTTCTTTTATAAGGCAGTGGTTAATGTGTTGGCTGGATCAGAGCTCAGGCTTGACTGCAAGAGAATCTGCTACCAAATTCTCTTGTGTTGGCTGACTAAAAGAGCCTTTTCACAGAACTGCCTTTTTAAAAATACTGCTTTACTAAAACATATATGAGATATCATCTCAGCCCAGTCAGAATAGCAAAATTTAACAGAACAGCTAGCAACAAGTGCTGGTGAGGTTGTGAAGAAACTGGACCCTTATTCACTGTTGATGGGAGTGTAAAATGGTGCAACCACTGTGGAAGGCAGTATGGTACTCTCTCAAAAAGTTGCAAATAGAGATACCATTTGACCCAGAAATTCCACTACTGGGAATATACCTCAGAGAGACCGTAACAGACATCCAAGCAGATATATGCACACCCATGTTTATGGCAGCTTTTTTCACAACAGCAAGGAGTTGGAAACAACCTAAGTGCCCATCAACAAACGAATGGATAGAGAAGCTGTTTTTTATTCACACAATGGAATACTACGCTTCATTGAAAAACAAGGAACTCATGCACTATTATTCAAAATGGGTCACCCTGGAGGACATTATCCTGAGTGAAGTATCTCAGTCTCAAAAGGACAAATACTTCATGGTGCCGCTGTTGTAAAACAAAACTGACATCAGGGTTGAGGGGAGACTGAGAAAGATGGGTTCAATGATGTATACTGCATTGAAACAGATGAGGGAGAAAACTGTTTAAAAGGGATATGTGATTAGGTATTTTTGTCATGACAGGAGTCCAGAGCAAAGGCTGCATAGTGGAGTAGACCTAGGGGGAGGGTTTGTAAAACAATTAAAGAATTTTTCTTTTACTTTTCCAAACAGGTACTGTACTAGGGGGGAGGGTTGGGCGGGATGAGAAGTGCAACAGTGAATGAATGGAAATCCAAAATCTCTGTAAATTTTCATTGAAATGAATAATAAATTTTATAAAATACTGGTTTACTTACAAAATGAATATACGTTGTTTTTCACACTGGATCTTTCCCATTTCCTTAACCCACTCCACCCTCCATCCATCAAATTATGCAACCCTATGATTATGTCCCCCCCCATTTTCCCTCCTGTGTTGTCCCCCTACACCTCCTTGGATCCTCATAGGTATTTTACTAGTAATCTGTTTCTACAATAATGATCTTACACAGTATTCATCCTTATAGGGACTCTCCAGTCCCTTCCAAGTTAGTGATTTACAAAATCATTGTTCCTACATGGTGCATAGTATTCTGTCATGTGACTGTACCATAATTTCTCAGTCTATTCAGTAGTGGTTTGACATTTGGGCTGTATCCAAAAAACTGTTTTATTACCTAGCAACCGGTTTCCCCCAGAAAACCAGTTGCAAGCAAGACATGACAGCCAAGACAAAGTCACAGACTTTTAAACCTAGCATATGTTTTTGTATAGGAAGCTATGGTAGCTTAGTGGTAAGGAATTGTACTATTGACCCGAAGGTACGTGATTAAAATCTACCAGCTGCTCTGATGGAGGCAAATGGGTAGTCTCCTCCTATGCAGATTACAGCCTCTGAAAATCAACTGGAGGTTCAGCTTTGCGTTGGTTCTAACTTGATGGTAGTCTGTTTACTACTAACAACAACAGCATATATTGTTGATGTAAGAAACTCAGAGCTATTGAGTCCTGATTCATAGTTAACCCTCCATTGAGTTTACAAGGCTGTATAGGAGAATGTTGCAGATCTTTCACTCAAGGCACTGCTGGTGGGTCTAAACCATCAGAGAGGCTCAGCCTTTAGGTTAGCACTGCAACTCCCCAAGTACTATGCCACCAAAGCTTCTTTAGCATATATAAGAGCTGAGGACCTTTCACTTTTACTATATTCATTCTAAGTGAACTATGTCCTTGGCTAATCAAGAAGAGAAGAGGAATATATAGAACATGAATAGTAAGAGCAATACATCATTGGGGACCATCCTAATTACCAGTTGCCACATAATAACAATCAAAATAGAAATAAAAAAAATATATATGTGGGGAGCTCTGATGGCTTAGTGGCAAGAAGCTGCACTGCAATCCCAGAGACATGCGGTTCGAATCCACCAGATGCTCTGCCGGAGAAGGAGGGGCAATCTCTTCCTGTATCAGTCAGATCCGATTTGACAATACACACACACACACACAAAATAATAAAAAATTTAAAAAATATATATGCAAAGAAGTTTTTTTCAAATAGTATTAATATTTATTAACATAACACGTTGTTGTTGTTGTTGTTATATACCATTGATTGTGAACCAACTCATAGTTGACCCTCCAGTGGGTTTTAAGAGACTGTAAATTACACAGGAGGAGACTGCTCATTTTTCTTTCACAGAGCAGCTAATGGATTCCAACCGCATACCTTTAGGTTGACATAAAAATTCCTTACCACTAAGCCACTGCTAATTTCTCTGTAATGGATTTTGTATTTCTTTTCTATTTAGTATACTTTACTGTTACTAAAAACCATGTGTCTCTAAATACCTGACATTTGCTAAATTCTTTATCATAATGTGATGCATTTTATAAACTTCATGATCTACCTTTAAATGTATGTCTTTGTATATTACATTTAGGCTTACTAATGTTGAGAGGGTTTTTACCCCTTAAAATTAGTCTTTTAAAGTACATATTTTAACATTCTCACCACCAAATTATTTTTATTCCAATGTTCAAAATAGAAGAGCCTGTAACTTAATATCAATAGTTGGTTTTGGCCCACAGGGAGCAGAGCTGTTGTAATGGAATGTCAATATGGGCCAAGGAGAAAAGGTTTTCAGTTAAAAAAAATCAGTGAGCAGGAAAGCAGATCTTGTCAACTCTACAAAGCTACTTGTCCAGCCCGGTGAGCTTTATTTGTTTCTTTTTCATTAAGTCCTTATCTTTTACACTTCTTTTATACTTCTTGCTCTTGTTCCTGTTGCCCTCTAAGACTCTTGCAAGTTTCTTCAGTAACATTTCAAAGATATTCTGTGTGTATATATGTGTATATATTTTCCCTTCTCCCCTCCTAAATGTTATTAAAGATCTAAAAAGATGTTGGTAAAATTTATTTAAAAGTTCTACAATAGTACACCTTCTTTCATGTTATGAACTCACATTAATTCATCCATAATTGAATGCCTATAATGGTTATCTGTTAAATAGATACCATGCTATATATTACTTGGGAAAAATGGCATACACTACTTTATAATTTAGGGGGTTTTACTTCCTAAAATATTATAGAAAAGATACCATTTTAATGTAGCACTTTCTCTTTGTAATAGCTGTATAATACTTTAAGAATGAATCATCCAACAAAAAAATTTTTTCTAAAAATACTGAATCATAGGGAGCTCTGGCGGCCTAGTGGCAAGAAACTGCACTGTAATTCCAGAGGTGTGCGGTTCAAATCTACCAGACGCTCTGCTGGAGGAGGGACAGTTTCTTCTTGTACCAGTCAGATCCGATTTGACAGTACACAGACACAAAATAATAAAATAAATTAAAAAAAATACTGAATCATTTACATAGTCTGCTCTCTAATAATGGACTTGTAGTCTGGGTAAAACACTTTATAATAATGGACTTGTAGTCTGGTAAAAACACTTTACATTATTATGTACAAAGCTACAGTTAATAACATTGTACCTGGATATAACTATGTAAAAATATATCAGTAAAGTAAACTTTTAGACATGAAATGTCTAGGACAATATTTTATTTTAAAAGGTAAGTAAGAATCATATTTGAAATGCTTTGAATGCTGCCAAGTATTATATACTTAGTTAAAGCTGAGACAGATTCTTTGAAGGAGAAATATAAATGCAAATTATTATTGTGACATTGATATACCAAGTAGAAGTTCAAGAGGCTGTTAAAATAATCCATGCATGAAATACATGAGAACAAGGAAGTAAAGGCAAATCCAGAAAAAAAATTCCACAAACCCTGAGATATTTTTACCAAAGTCACAAATATTGCTAATTTGCGAAGTACTATTTTGCTGTGAGACAATAGCATGTCTTTCACATCATCATTGGAATGTTTCTGAGATTAATTTGAAGTTGAATTTTCTCTAATTCTGAATACTTAAAATAATAGAATACTTCTGGTTGGTGAGTTTATTATGATGTAATGTAATATATTATCTCATTAAAAGGATTTATATTAAAAAGGTACAGAAGTTTCCTGAATATAGAGTTCCTACAGACCCCAAAATTGACAGAAAAATAATCAGAATGGAGCAGGAAAAAGCCTTTAACATGCTAAAGAAGAACTTGGTAGATGCCGGTGGTGTTCTTAGGTATGACATTTGTATAGTCTTTTTATTCACAAATTGATTTTTTTAATTAATTTTAATGAAAGTTTACGGAGAATCAGGGTTTCCATTCATTCATTGTTGCACTTTTCTCCCTACCCACCCCCTCCCCCAATTCACTCTTCTCCTTAAAAAGAAAGAAAAACTCTTTCATTCTTATGCAATCATCCCCCCAAGTCCACTCCACTATGCAGCAGTCACTCTGAACTTCTGTAATGACAAGAATGACAAGAATATCCATTTATATGTCCCTTTTTAAACAATTTTCTCCCTCATCTGTTTCAATGCAATATACACATCATTCCTCCCCTCCTTTTCTAACTTCCCGCAACCCTGATGTCAATCCTGTTGTACAACAGTGGCCCTATGCAATATTTGTCCTTTTGTGACTGAGATACTTCTCTCAACATAATGTCCTTCAGGGTCATCCATTTTGCTTAATATTGCATGAGTTCCTTGTTTTTCAGTGCTGCATAGTATTCCATTGTGTGAATATACCAGAGCTTATCTATCCATTCATTTGTGGTTCATTCTTTCCTCTTAAATAAGACATCTCGATGGATTCGTGACTAATCAGCCCATGCTCACACATAACTGTGGTGTCATGCATTTGGTATCTTTTAATTTTCGGGGTGCCTGATTCAACTGGGTTACCAACCTTAATACAGTGCTGGAGGTGGGATATTTATCTTCTTCCTGATGTCCTAAGGAAATTAATTTCCATTGGTGGTTTACAAGACCACAGTAATTGTTATACGCATACGCACACACCCGCGTGTACGCCTACGCACACACCCGCGTGTACGTATCCACACACACCCGCGTGTACGTTTTCTTTCAAGTATTAGGTCCTAATAGTATAACCAAGTCCTAATAGTATAACTTGGGTTGTTTCCAGCTCTTTGCTATTGCAAACAAAGCTGCAATAGACATGGGTGTGCATCAAATTGATTTTCTGTGAGAGAAATTGTGATTACATTTTCCAGTTGTTTCATTAAAAAATTGTGTTAAGAGATAGATGTGTTACTAGTAGCTTCCTAGATATTAAAATGATTTGCCATTGTATAAACCATTGAAATTATTGCACCCTGTGTAGGTAATTCTTACTAAAGAATTTAATATACCATATGGAAGTTCTTCCTAATTTGGGAAAGATATTTAACAATACATTTCCTTATATATTTGGTAATTTGTGTCAGATACTTATAAAGAGCAGAACTTACAGCCACTAAATTTTAAAAAAAACCTGTCTTGTATTATTGATGACAGCTATAAATTAATTCTAAGCTCTAAATACAATTGTGGTTACTACTTTTGCCTCAGAATTCATGTCGAAAAGCCCTCTTGTTCTCCTTACTTTATCAGTTCAAGTGAAAATTTCCATATTCTAAAGTGATTTAAACATTGGGTTTGAGCAAGGCAGAGATTGTAACAATGGCACAGGAAACTCCATTTCATACAGTATCAGTCATTGTAAGAATTTTGTATAAATTTATGAATTAAAATGGTTTCACACAAGATTATTTCTTTTTCCTAGCACACGTTTATTGTGCATGAGGCCTGTATTCACTTTTTAATTTCTTTTTTCTTGCTCATTGGGCCAACAGAGCTGAGAGTGCTGTGGAAGGAATACATTGAGGTTCTTTGAGGGAAGAATCTCTCACATAGTTTAGTTTTAACAGGCTCTAAATTATATCCTTTTTGCTTGAAAGGATGCTAAGTTTATCACACAGGTTAATTTGCTATAAAATGGAAAAATACATAATTCAAAATGTTGTGATTTTCAGTGTCTTTTTTTGGTGGAAAATTTGTTTAACATTAAATTTAAAATACCATTTTATGCTTAAGTTTCTACACTTTTTTCTTTCTCTTCTCCTGACCCCCAATTTTAGGGCCATAGTGAAATTCTAACATAGTTATGAAGATTGGTTATTTAGTTAAATATGAACTCACTTTTCCAAAGAGTTTAGTAGAACCCCACTTATTTTATTTTGTATATATGTATATATATATGTATTAATTTCATTTTTCATTCAAAGATTATCCCTTCTCTTTATGAATATTCCCATTAATGATTATGATTCTTTGTCTTCATCTCATTAAACAATTTTCAATTTTTTATCAGGTGGTATGTACAGTTACCTACACAGCAGGCTCATCAGTATCATGAATTAGAGGCTCCCTGCCTTTCTTCTTCACCTTCTCCTTTTCCTATGTCTTCTCTTGAAGAAGAGGAAAATACAGTCAGAGATGAAAATTGCGCATTGCCCTCACGTCTGCATCCTCAAGTAGCATGTAAAATTCGAGAATTAGTATCACAGGGAGTAGAACAAGTGTATGCAGTAAGGAAACAGCTAAGGTACAGTAGAACAAATTGTTCTTTGACATTTTTATTTGTTGACTTAAAAACTATACTTAATATTATAGATATTTCCTATGGTATATGGTACAATATGCTATAAGAAATAATTTTTTAAAATTTATTAATTTTAATGAACGTTTACAGAGACTTTGGATTTCCATTCATTCATTATTGCACTTTTCTTCTTGCCCAACCTCCCCCCCTCCCCAGTTTGCTCTTCTCTTTGAAAAGTAAAAGAAAAATTCTTTCATTCTCCAAGTCCACTCCACTACGCAGCCTTCATTTTGAAAAGTAAAAGAAAAGTCCTTTCATTGTTATACAGTCCCTCCCCACAATTACACTCCACTATACAGCCTTTGTCTGGACTCCTTCGTCTTGACAATAATACCTAATCATATATTCCTTTTAAACAGTTCTCTCCCTCATCTGTTTCAATGCAGTATACATAATTTATCTCATCTTTGTCAGTAGTCTCCCCCCAACCCCGATGTCAGTCCTATTTTACAACAGTGACACTATGCTGTATTTGTCCTTTTGTGACTGAGATATTTCACTAAGCATAATGTCCTTCAGGGTCACCCATTTTGAATAATATTTCATGAGTTCCTTGTTTTTCAGTGCATTGTAGTATTCCATTGTGTGGATATACCACAGTTTCTCTATCTATTCCTTTGTTTATGGGCATTTGGGTTGTTTCGAGCTCTTTGCTACTGTGAGCAAAGCTGCAATAAGCATGGGTTTGGATATATCTGCTTGGGTGGTGGTTGGGGTTTCTTTGGGGTATATTCCCAGTAGTGGAATTGCTGAGTCAAATGGTATCTCTGTTTGCAACTTTTTGAGAAAGTACCACACC